TATTCCCACACGAGTATGTAATGAATGATTATTTTTCTGGCATTATTTTATCCAAAATAACGGCCTGTCAATGACGTCGCCATGATAGGGCTAAAAATATATTCTTTTAATTTTCCATCTAATTAAAAATCTAAATACACCATCGGAGAGAGCGTACCTGAAAATGGTTTACACATAGTGTAAACTCATAAAATGAATTTCAGTCCATGTAAATTAATTAGATAGATAAAAACTGGGAATAAAAAAAACTTATCTATCCGATAGCGTACACATTCATTCAAGAAGAATCCTTCCGCGATCTAAAAATAGTGCCATTTAAAAAGTGAAAATACGACAATATTTTGAATGAAAATAAGTTTATCTTAATAAGTTAAATGACAACATTTAAGTATATGTAATATTTTTTAACATTGTTACAATTTCTTTATATAAAGACTGAATGTTTACGTTACCGTTCGCTGAGTAGTAATACACAGTGTAAGACAGAAAAATCTCACACTGCTGTCTCACACCGGACAAGTCAATATTACACTGGTGATTATGCGAGAAAATTCGATCCTGAAATCAATGTTGTAAATTATTTGAACTCACACTTTCGTGAATCTTTACTCTGCACAGAGCTACTTATATTTTATTTTATATTTTAGGAACATCATCCTTTAGCACGGTCTTCACTGTGTCATAATTGTGAACTGTTTTGAAAAAAAGTATGTTTCTACTGATTTGAAACTTGTTTTATATGTCAATTCAGTAGTGTTTATTTTTAAATTCACATTTGAAAGTATCTTTTTTTATATTAGTATTTTTAAGTTTTATGAAGATACATCATTTATAATAATGAAATACTTTATGAAGATAATGATTAGTAATCAGTCTTAAATGCCCATTGACAAAATACAAATTTGGAGTAGAGCAAACACTGACCTCCAAAATATCAGGTGCTATGGAAGAGTAAGCATCCTACTGACCGGTCACACCGGCAGTGTATTTCTTGTCATGATCGGTAGACGGAAAAATTCCTGGACAATTAATAGTGATGGTATAGGCATAACAGTTGTTAATGAAAACGGAAGTCAAATTTGACTTAATGATAGATTGTATTTGCTGACAAGTTCATTGTTTCGATCATAGCATTTGGAAAAGGTTGACTTTAAACGAGATTATTGATATTCTTGTTAAATCAACTTATTTGTTATTACTCAGCTACGTTAAGAAAGGCCTGAGATCACATTTGTGATGCATCGTATGGAAAGTTTCATTGTGACGTCATTTAAAATTTAACAATTGGCAAAAATCTCTTTAATCACATGAGGATGCGTAAATACATTGTAACAACATGCATTCATTCATTTTATTAATTATTCATAAAAGCATGTAAAATCACAACATGTGATAACAAAACTACCGAGTTATTAGAAGCAAATCTTGTGTCATAAATGACGTCACTAGCCTTGACGACGCAGCATAAGTGATCCGGAGGAGTGGATCCATTGGTTTAATAATTATAAAAATGTTTAAGTAAATATATATCCATCGCCAATGTTTAAATTTAATCAATCAAGTTAAATGGAAATAATTAATAATTTAAACAACTACGTAGATTATCAATTTATCTAGGTGCTATAGTGAAGAATTTTTAGCTATTTTACGCATTTCCGGCAAAATTACGAGTATTTCCGAAACAGCTCAAACTAGCTCCCAGCACTTTTTAGGAAACCGATGTAATTTTTTTTTTAAAATTAAATATCTACCATTTTTCTTTCTCCAAAAACATGCGTATGTCCTTGCACTAGCGTCATTTTCTACATTCAGCTGAACAATTCTATTTTTATACCAGTCATGTGACACACAGCTGATACATGCAATGTAACTGGTACTGAGTACGGCACAAACCTATCCATCATTGATATCTATATTACCTTTCTTACATGTATACAGTTGCTTTGTTACAAAGATTTTTTTTTAAATAATACGTATTAAGAGGGTACAGGTACTAAGATCGCATTCTCCATTTCCTTCCTTAAAATAGCTGAGTAGTTTTCCTCGTTTTAGAAATTGTTAGTTGTGCATGTTCTTGCGTATCAAGTCAATTCAGAGACATAAACTCATTTTTAGAAAAGTTAAAGCCATTGCGTTTATAATAAACTTTTGTTGTAAGTTTACCATTAACGTCTTTTTCGGGTAAAATATTCAAATGTTAAACAGATGGGTAAGACTCTGTGGTATATTTTATTTTATTTTATTTTATAATATTAAATTTCCTCGAATATATATATATATATAAAACAAGATGGCGTTTATGTTCCTTAAGTTCTCCTGCCAAACGAATGAGCTTTTTTTTGTTTTTGTTTGTTTGTTTGTTTGTTCTTTTTGTTAAAAGCAAGCAAACATCAAAAAACATCATAAAGAAGTGAAAAATGTCATTTATAGAAGTAAATAACGAAAAGTAGTAAAACAGTTTACAAAAATGGGAGTCAGAAGGGGGGTCACAAATATGACATATTTTAGGCAAAATATTACCCAATCTGACCGCCGGCACCATAATGACATTGTAACATGATGAAAACAGTAAAATGGGGGGGGGGTTCAACCAGACTTGAATAAGAATTCGAGACCAGGAAACCTTTACAAGACACAGCATACATGAATTTTGAATTAACCCTCTTATAAACATGAAACAATTTAAAAAACAAACAAACACAAAAATACCCTAGATTGCTGCCTGCCATCAAAAAAGGTGAGGAAAACAAAATGACAATCAGCCACAATCAAATCAGAGACTGGATCCACCCACCCAAAGGCAGGGGACGCACACATTTCACAGCAAGAAGATTCATACACAGAAAAAAAAAACATCTTTACAATATTAATATCAAAGCAAGATTTAAAAGATGCATTCCTTTTCATTAGGAAGGTGCAGGGAACTGAAACAGAAATACAAAAATGGCATTATATTCAGGACACTAAACACATACAGGAAAATTACTTTAAGAAAACTTTTTCCTGTTTCCTATTTTTAATTAAAACACTATTTACAAAAAAAAAAAAAAAAAAAAAAAAAAAAAAAAAAAAAAAAAAAAAAAAAACAACAAGTAATTATTGCAAGACATAGGAGAGGTATGATACATTAAATAGCATCATATACAATCTCTACTTTGAAAGTTATATATTTGACAGACAGATTGAACAAACAATTCTGATGACTTTAAAATACTTTAGATTAAACAACAATGTTTTGCAAATAGACATATATCTTGTTACACATCAGAATTCCATATCCCCTTCTTCTGTATACAATTCTCAGAAATAACTTTTGTGAGCTGCATGCGTTGTAGCCCCAATCCAAAAGCTATGATGCTGATCAGGGACAAGCTAAAGGTATAAGCCAATTAAGACCATGCTATGTAGATTTTTAGATACAAATGCACTGGAAACTGGATCACCTCTCATGAATTTGAAGAGGAGACCAGAAAGATGACCAAAGGTTTCGAGATATTTGTATAATGCCGAAACAGGACACATTTTATTGTTTCTTTATGCTCTGAGGTGATTCAGGAACAGATGGTTTTTCTTGTTAGTGTTGACTATTATTAAAATAACTTTTAAGGACAGATGATACAAAAAACAACTTTTATTGAAAAATTGAAAATAACAACTTGAGTCCTGTTTATATAAGTAAAATGAACAAATTTACGCATAGTTTTTGATTTTTTTTATTTTAGGTTTCACAATAAAAATGAGATTTGAAGTGACAAAAATTTGTGTATATTAATAAGGATGGTTACAGAAAGGTAGAATTTCGAACATCATAGAAGGGTTACAATTTCTTAATATTTTAGAAATCTATTATTTGCATCATTTACAACAAAAATAGACCCAAAAATGTATACCAATCAATTTTCTTTGTTTGTATCATCTGTCCTTAAGAGAACTCTGTAGTGTATATTTTGCACTGATGTCCGTAAACCATCAACTTAGTTATTCAGAATGGGACCCGTAATTGGTAACCATGTGTCTTTGTTAAGAGTTGAATAGTGATACGTTTGTAGTAATTCACTACTTTTCAAACCAAAAATGACTCTGATATGGATCCAACAGGCCAAAATATTTATGTATATGCACATAGCTGACAGCTGATTTATCTGATGAAATGCTATTAGTGAAATGACCTACGATAAAGAATGAGCAATGAAGTTGGATGTTGTACCTAAAAGTTCTCAGTAAACCACGACGTACCAAACTCAATATGAATTTCGTTCTGAATGTTTGTTTAATGATAATTTGGACAACTCTTAATTATCTGACTTGAATACTAGAACCTTTTTTTCCTTAACTGCCCCCTTTTCTCTATTGTTATAAAAATGTGGAATAATCTCTTAATGGCTATTTGGTATTTTCTCATAACTTCACTCCAGCGAGTGAACGGATATATACATTAATAGAATTATTGTAAGTCACATCCTAATAAATAAATCTTTGTTATTTGCATTTTGATTTCCAAATAAGGATCCAATTAAAATAACTGTATCAATTAATACTGATTATGGCTCAATCAGCTTGTTTTTAAATCAAAGTCTGCCAACTTATTTATTACTAAGCTTCCTTATCTTAAAAATATATACATAATTGAAGGTTTTATCATTATTTAGAGACTTGTGACTGATAGGTATTACAAACTGATATCTCGTTTAGCAATTTTCCCCAGAAATTTAACATTATATTTTGTTTTACTGTATAATGGGAAGTGTTGTTTTCTAAAGTGGAGCTCTTCCGATAACTTTTGTTCATGAGAACATTTCAGATATCAGATCATTTAATGGGAATCCTCGCCACATAAGATCATGATGACGATAATGAACGTTCATTATATATTTATGATACATGCTGTTTTAAGTAAGTATTTTCATTGACCTTTCTATCGTATTTTAAAAATGTAGTCAACATTTTGAACTGTGTTCCATTTTTTTAAGCGTCATTTACTTTTAGTTGTAGAATGCACGATGGAGAGCAAGTGCAGAATTTTATCTCATAAAGATGAATGTGGCAATCAAGGCTGGTTGTGGGATTGTAGTGGGCTTAACTTAGAAAAAATACCTCGTGAAATCCCAGGTGAATTAAAAGACAGAAAAATTATGCTCGACCTCTCGCAGAATAATTTTACGTTGATATCTCGAAAAACATTCAGAGGCATCCATTTAAATCAAAGCATGGTGACAGCCCTGTATTTTAGCCATAACAACCTTAAGTCAATACAAAAAGATTCTTTTAAACTGCTGAACAACTTGTGTGTTCTTGAAATATCGTCTTGTAATCTTTCACAATGGTCTTTCAAAGTTAAAGCTTTTTCTAGCCTTAGAAAATTGAAAATTTTGATAGTTAATAATAATTCATTTACAGGTTATCCTGAAAATGAAATAATAAGCCTTTCATCTTTGGAAAAATTATGTATCGATGTGTTTGTCGAATTTAGATTCAAGCAAGCATTTAAACGCTTGAAAAAATTGAGAGAACTTAAATTATACTCGAAATCCCATTTTCATATACACAACTACAGCTTCAATGGGTTATCTGAATCGCCTATTCAATATCTTGAAATGAATTTCAAAAGACATGTGCTTTGCGACATCAGTGAAGAGATTTTCTGTTCTTTTCCATATCTTAAGGGTGTAGAAATATTTTTTGGGGGGTTGTGTGACATGAATGTAGTTATGAAAAGTTTAAAATGCTTGCAAAATCGAACAATGGAATACATTGTTGCCAATGAAAATTTTGTGGACCTCTATTCAATGCCTTTCTATTTAAATAAAACTAACACCAAATACCTTTACAGCATCTGTTTCAAAAGTGTGTCTCTCATCAATGACCGCATTTTGGGCATATTAGCTAGTCCACAGGGAACTAATATGGGAAACTGTATGGAATACTTTAATGTCGGCCGGAATAGAATTAACCTATTTCTCCCATACTTAAGGATTGACCTTCTGCAAAATTTTCCAAAACTCAGGTTTATTGATGCTAGCTACCACGGCTATATGAACGTATTGGATGATTTTAATAACAAGTGGCTTCAAATGCTCGGATGGAAAGCAAATGTAACAATTACGATTGATATTTCAAAGAATTTACAATACATAAATTATGCAGATAATTACTTCCATAATATAAAACTCAAAGACCCGTCCATAGTTCGTATAAATGTTACTGCTAAAAGTTTGCAAGAATTAAATTTATCTAATACAAATTTTCCTTTAAGATACATTTTTGAGGCTGACACCCCAAATTTAGAAGTTCTTGATATTACTGGCAGCCTATGTCGAACGGTATCCGTTCATTTATTTGAACAAGCAATAAAACTAAAGAAAATTGTTGCAGAAAATATAAAGTTAAATTTTGATAAATTGGATAGAATCTTCTATAGTCTTAAAAATCTGGAAGAACTAGACGTGCATAAAAGTAATTTACGAAACATTCCACTCACTTTATTGAAATACCAAACATTTTTATTTCGTCTGAACCTAGACGAAAATCTGTTTTCATCCTTTCCAGCTACCTTGAAATATGTACCGAATTTAGAAAAGCTGTATATTCGTTTCAACAAAATTACATCAATCACAGAGTCAGACTTTATCACCTTTAAGAGATTACGAAAAACAAAGATTTATGTTCATGGAAATCCTATAAACTGTGATTGTCTACATGTTCAATCACTCAGATGGATGAGGGAAATTCAGCACTTATTTGCTGATCTAAATGAAACTTTCTGCAGTGAAAAGAGTTTAACTGTGTTAGAACTCCTTCAAGAAAATTCTTTTGAAGAATTTGAGAAAAAATGTCAGACAGAGACATGGCTTGCCATCTCTGTTTTGATATTATTAATTCTTATTGCTACAATCACTGTTGTTTTCCTGGCAAAAAAATATCGTGTTCATATTGATTATGTTATTCTGAACTTGCGTAACAGGTGGAAAGGTGTATATTCAGTCGAGAGTGGGGACTTTCAGTTTGATGCTTTTATATCCTATGCTGAAGATGACTATAGAATTGTTAGCACTACATTATATCAAACACTAACAAAGAGAGGCTTTCAAATAAGTTTTCCAGATAAAGACTTCATTCCTGGAATATCTAAAGCTGACGAACTGTTACGGTTTATAGACAAAAGTAGGAAAGTTGTGTTCATTGTAACTGAAAATTTTCTGGCCAATGGTTGGAATTCGTATGCTGTACAAATGGCGGTGACGCATTCGTTTCATACGAATCGAAGACAAACCATCATAGTGATAATTAAAGATGATATTACCATAAAACGAATGCCAAAAGACTTGCGATATATCTGGTGGTCCATTGTAAGTATAAGGTGGCCAGAAACTAGTGAGCTGATGGATCAATTTTGGGATGAACTTGATTGTGCCTTAAAATCGGTTTAAATAATGTCGTGAAATGCTTGGAAAAAATTTACAAAGATAATACTGAAGTAAAACACTACTCATCCATTTTTAAAGTTTTTTGTTTGTATCATGTAAATGATTGAGCTTGTATAAAATTTCTGATTTTGATTTCATACCATTCGTGTTATAAGCATTAGAAATGCTTTTTTTACGTTATCAGAATTGTTTTCTCTTTTGAATAAAACAACAGATTTGTACATGAACAGAACTCATTGTGTACCCTGAAGCAGTGCTGACAGAAAAATACCCGAAAGCAAGTTTTCCTGTCCCTTTTTTTTTTTTTTTTATTTATTTGGCTGAAAAATGTATTCATTTGTATTAGTGACTGAAGAAATGTACATTTACCTGGTATATACTTCTGCTGTATATATTTGCTATGGATTTCATATTCAAAACGTTATTCTGAATGCACACACAAGTACTCCTATGTGTGTCTTTTTATATGTGTTATTTACCTCTGTTAATATAAATCCATAAAAAAAAAACTATTACAAATCAACCACATGTTCTTTATATTTTCATGCGTTATTTTCAATGTTAAGGCCTTAATAAATCAAATAAATCAATGTACAAAATATTCAAATCAGCACTTCAAGGCTAGTACGTATACATGTATATATACGTTATAATCAATCAAAATACTTTATGGCCTTATTCTATTATTTATTGTGTATTTTTGATTGTCTTTTGACACTAAAACTGTAACGAATTTTATAGGTATAAAAAAATAACTCCCCTAAATGACAAAATTTATAACACTTTTTATGGCCATTTCCCGCATTTTCTAGCTCATAACAAGCTTATTCTTAATGGAAAGAAAACAACAATCAAAATATCCTCATTCATCATTTCTTTTAATGAAATGAGATGCTAACGAAGTGTTATCACATGCAAAAGTCCAATTAAATACAACTGAGTGCAAAGCAAGCAATGTCCTTTAAGAATAAAGGTGGGATAAGGTGCTCTTGAGGAGTGAGCATCCACTATCAACGGGACACACCCGCTACATGCCCTTTGTCACGATCGGTTAAACGGTAAATTCCGTAGACAATACAGTGTGTGAAATGAAATATGAAGTTATCAAACAGTAATCACGTTCAAAAGTCCATTGAAATAATACAGCAAAGAAGAACAAATATGGATCTCTGAAAACATAAGTGGTGGGATGAGGTGTCATGGAGGAGTAATCATCCCCTGTCGACTGGTCATACAGTGCAGGGAACTAATTTTGTTACATAAACCAGCATCAGCATAAGCATTAGTAGCATCAGGATCGAGCTAGCATCAGCATCAGCATTAAAAAAAAACAGCATTACCAGGATCAGCATCAGCAAGCAAAGGATAAAACCAGCATTGACCTACATAAAATCAGCATTATCCTACTAGCATCAGAAAATCAGTGAGTTTTAATTCAGTAAAAAATGAAAAATGAAAGAAAGAATATTTGTTAAAGTATTCACATTATTAATACATAGTGAGATTTTATGATCAAATAATTGTTAAAGGCACGTTTATTGCTTTAAACGGCAATGCTGAACTTCATTATCTACTTCCGGTAGCATGATGCTACTTCCGGTAGCATTGACCTAATTATAAAACAGCTTCAGGATAAGGATTACTAGCATTAAATCAGCAAGTAAAGGAAGCACTCAAATCAGCAAGCAAAGGAAGCATTCAAATCAGCATCGATGCTGTAACAAAATTAGTTTCCTGCACTGTATCCGTCGTGCGCTCCTTGTCATGATCGGGCAAACGAAAAGATCCGTAGAAAATTAAGTGAGAAAAAAAGGGATAACAATCTGTATGGAAAACGTAATTCATCATTCTTCTTAACGATAGATTGTATCAACCATAGAATTTGTGAAATGATGATTTTAGAAACGAGACTGTTGATATCCTTGTATTATCAACTTATTTGTCTATAACTTGCCTTGTTTAAAAAAAATATGTTGGTAAGTGGAGCATGCTCTTGCATGGAATCAAATGAGTGACATACAGTACCAACCAGACCCAACCTGACACCTAAGCAGTCCCAGAAAGCAGTCCCCGGGACTGCTTTGGGACTGCTCTGTGACCGCTGTGGGACTGCTCTGGGACCGCTATGGGACTGCTGTGGGATTGCTGTGGGACTGCTCTAAAAAGCAGACCCAGCAGTCCCAGCAGTCCCCGGGACTGCTTTCTGGGACTGCTTTGTTCACTCATGCGTGAAAGAGGTTCTGAGTGACATGATAGCTCCGCCCCCTTGTGTATTCTGAATTTGCAGTCTCCCTGTTGTTGTTTTGTTTACTTTCAGCAGAGTGGTGTTTAAGATAAAAAAAATAAAAGAACAAGGATTTTTTACAAAATTTTAACAAGTAGAGTTATATATATACATGTAATTACTATATGTCTTCAGGGGCTCTAAATTTACACAATTCTAGTCTTAGAATTAATTTTAAAAATGAAAGTAATTAAGGGGGACCGACCCTCTGACAAGAGAAATAACTTTCCAAGAAAAATATCATAGTATTACTCATAGTTTACTTTATCAGAGTTTAATTATCGAGACCTTTGAGCTGTCAATTCGATCAAACTTAACTTATGATGGAAACATTACCTTATATTTTCTTTGACTGTACTTTTCAAATTGTTTTATTATGTTTGACAAAAAAACATTTAAATCCAGTTTTAAACCCTTAAAAATTGAATAATTTCTATCTTTTTAACGATCATTTTAAAATGGTTTAATGTATCAAGCACCAAATGTAGCATTTTTATTAGTATTACATTTTTTTCCAATGAAAAAATATTTATAAGAAAGATAACTCTTGCTAACAGTTGTATTGTTTTCTTACAACCACATATAACATTGTGATATTCTGACTTAGGAAGCAGCGCTTCATTATGATTTAATATGAATTTAGTAGGTATGACACTAAATATCATTTTCATATACATTGCATATTTCTTATTTTATGTTGTGATAATAAATTATTACTCTTCCTTACCTCTGTGTTAAAATTTCTTCATATTATGATCTGATATAAAAATCATTTCTGAAAAAAATAAGCAGCACTTCAAAACCTCATACTATTTGTCATTTGATTTTGATGCTATAGCTCTTGATGAAAATCAATTTTGGAAAGTTTAAAAAAAAAATCGTGAAATTTGAAGCAGAGGGTCATAAGTCCTTAAAAAGAAAAGTCAGGAGATGATTTTTATCCCTAAAATTAAACTTTAATACAAGTGTTTGAAACCAAATTATCTAGGCCTATTTAATTAATTAATGCTATCAAATTATGTACTCAAAGTTTGCATTAGCGCTATTTAAAAAAAACACCATGTTATTACAGTAAGATATTCAGGGGGAAGTACTGTACTGGATTTTTTTTTAATTGAAAAAAGCTAAAACCATGCTTTAAAAAAAAGCGCATTCCATGCTATCCATGCTATTTTTTACCGCCCCCAAATAATATCTAATAATTTTTATTAAATGACCAAGAAATAAAATTATTCTACCATTCTTCCGCCATTTAAACAATGTGAACAAGTACTTGGGGATTTATTTATGAATTAGTTTTTAATTTATGAACAATTAATTAAAAAGGTACATTTATATAAAAAAAAATAAACATTTGAAAATATCGGGAATTGTGTGTTGTCAACACTTGAGGTTTCAATCGCCTTTGGGCATGATTAGCAGAAAGTCAATGAATGGTATCAGTGTTACACATCGCTGAACACGCTGGTCAACAATTCCACTATTTTCAATCTATGAACTGCAAACAATCTTTGTTTCAATAAATGTGTATAGATTTATTTCGGCGTTAATTAATTTAAAACATAATCTGAGGGTTCCATTCTCGTGATTTACAGATGTACACTCGAACGTTTATATAATAAAACACTTAAAACTGAGTGTTATCGTTTTCTGTTACGTAGAGAATCTAACGATAATCAAATTGGCAAGTCAGTGAAAATAGTCATGACTGAAATAAAATACTCGGCAAAATTTTACAAAGAATTTTTCAAAAGCCCCAGTACTTTCTAGTAAGAAAAAAGCATTCAGAGTATAGTATGGGAATCGGCCTTGCTCTATAATTATAAAATCTATTTAAACTAATTCTGATAGAAAAAAAAAATAATTCAAGTTTAATTTTTAATAAAAATAAAAAAATATGGAAACCAATATCAATCAGAGAAAATAAAGAAATTGATTTATTTTGGTGAAAAATTAATATACCACATAACTTTGTTTAAATATTCATGTTATTAGTAGGATTGAACACCTTCTTTGTTCAATATTTATTATTTGTTTCTATACGCGTACTGTGATTTTTTAACAGTTCAGAAATGACTGTCACACAAGAATTGTAAATATTTATTGTTACTGCTCAGAAAGAAATGCATCATCAATTTCCATTGTCTTTTATAGTTACATTGTTTATTGGTAATCTCATTTCTGAGTAAGCTCCGCCCATTAAATTAATAAACCCCGCCCACTGGGACTGCTGGGACTGCTTTCTGGGACCGCTGGGACTGCTGGGACCGCTGTGGGACTGCTTTGGGACCGCTAAAGCAGTCCCAGAAAGCAGTCCCCGGGACTGCTCTGGGACTGCTTTGTGTCAGGTTGGGTCTGGTTGGTACTGTACACTCCATATGCAGGTACCTAGGAGGAGTTAGCATCTCCTGTGGACCAGTCATTCCCGCCGTGAACCCTTAGTGTAGATCAGGTAGACTAAACATTCATTCCGTATTTAAATTCAGTATAAAAATAAAGGCCTAACAATTAGAATGAAACATGTGAGCCAATACACGGTCAAAAGACAGGATATATTTGCACAGGTAGGTTAAGGCTTCCCGTAGAATATCACAGTGCATTCACCGTTCACGGCAGCTCAGTCGGTAGAGCGCTCGCTTCGTGATCGGGAGGTCGTGAGTTCGAATATCAGCCGCGACTGACCTAAGTCGATAAAAAATGGGTAGCAACTGTTCCTTCG